CCGGTATAAGATTTAAAAACGAAAGTAAAGTTTTTGACAAAGTTATTTTGCACAAATAAAGAGTAAGGCAGATATAAGTACACTGATGTTGCACACTTCGAATGATGCACTGCCAATTTAACAGTTTACGTCAGAACTTCGAATTTGAATCAAAGAAAGTTTAATATTGTTTTTTTTTAATGTCAATCATTGGGATGGCCAACTCGGCAAATGATTACCATAATTGCCTTTTGTTTATTTAGTCTTAAGGGATTAAAATCGGGATAATATATAAAATGTCCGGCTGGCTAAAAATAATTTTGGAAGCCCTCACTCAGTTGCCATCATAAAATACTTTAAAAAAATAAAATAAGTAAAACCCAATTATCAATAACTGACTGCAGCTATTCTTCATTGGATCCTTTTTGAAACTCATGGCCAGACAAAGAGTAATCTAAGAGCTTGACTCTTTAACAGAGATCCAACTTTAGCCTCATTAGTTCTAAGGAGTTTTCCATTAGTCCATAATAATTAAGAAATAATTGTTGCAAGCTATACTTTATTGTAGTTTTAACATGGGTAGGCATATATACGTGATTATTTTTGCCTGAGCGATAGCATACAATCAGTTCTGTTAACCAAGCAGTTTTAGATTTACATTAGACCATGTTTCAGACTTTTGGGATTTAATCACTAAAAAAGTTAAAGATAACCAGACTATTTTAGATTTAACTGGTAATCTGTTTTCTTTTCCCGGTAGCAAAAAAGAGCTGATTCCTGTAAGTCTGTATATTGGCTGCTTCTGGTTCTTATCCATTTAAGGAACCAATGATTCCGGAGAGTGCAGTAACCTTGCCTCAGTCCATTATTATCAAGATATCAGTGATTTTCCTTTTTTTCTGACAAAAGTCATTGGAAGTAAACAAATTTTGATATAACCAATCAAAAATGCTATCATAAATTATCTGGGAACAAAAAATTTTACTTTTTCAATTGTAAATTTTGCTACTATTTTTCTTTCAAGTATAAAACTAAAGTAAAAAGTAAAAATCTATTTTATTGAAGTATTACGTGCCATTTGAGTTTTGAAATATATTTAAATTATAAAGTACTGAAATTAATTTTTATTATAAAGAATCAGTATTTATATCATTTCTTTTGAGTTCTTAATTTTTTCTTTCTAAATTTTTTTATTAAATCTAAAGATTTCATACTTGATATATGTAATATCATTTTGCATCATATTTGTATTTTTTCATTTCAGCTTCTTTTTCTTGTACCACTGAAACTTCACAGAATAATTGCGTACAATTTGAAGTTGTGTAGCTGCTTATATGAAATTGTTTGAGGAATTTCCCCCCATTTTTCCCTTAATTCTGATCTTGATGATTGTTTTCCAAAATTTTCAAAGATGGTACTGATTTTGTGTAATCAACTCCTGCAGTTTTTAATCTCAATCTTTTTAACTTCACACAATGATTGTACAAATATTTAAGTTGTCCACTTGGTACTATGGAATTGTTTGATAATTTTTTTCCTGATTTGGGAACTAAGTAATTTTTCATCAAAGGTAAATTAAATAGTTTTTAACCCATATCTTTTGGAATTCACAGAGAGTTTGCAAATTTATAGAGGCTTTTACAAATTTTGGGACTATACATGACTACTATGTACATGAGTAGTAAACCTTGAAAATGAGATATTTTTTATTAAACTTTGCTTCAAAATATTTAAAAAAATGTTGATTTATATGTGTTTATTATACTATTACTACACTGTACTTTTTTTCTTACATTTGTATAAGTTTTTTCATATCAGATGTCTGGTAACTTATATAAAAGCTATTATCTAGAGCTCTAGCTGTAAATAAAAAAAAATGTAAACATAGTTCTAAAATATACTTTTAATGAGTGGAAGAAATTGTGGGGTACAGAATACATTTCGTAAATTATCAAAATACAAGTTACCTGTTTAAAAGCATGTCTGGTATTTTTACAGTACTCCTTAAATAAATTTAATAAATTATTTGTATTTTAAATTGAGAATTTCTTCAGTTTCCATGATTGGAAAAATAATGTGAGATGCCTTGGAACATTCTGGTGACTATTGTACATTTTATAATGTACAATGGAAAGGACATTTCATTACTTAGATAAAATGGATTCAGTGGACTGATTAGCATAAAAAACTATGATGGAAAACCTTTGAAAGCAGCCAGGATAGCAGCTCCAAGGAAGATGGTCAAATAAATCTTCAACCAAGTCTGAGGCTTTACCAAGAAATTAAGAAGGCAAGTTTATTTAAGCCAAATATTTGTATACATTTTCTAGAAATATTCGACAAGAAGTGCATATTTAGACAACACGCCAGCACCCTTCTGATCTTCTGCATGCAAAACACCATTGATGTATTAATTTTAATAAGTTTTATAATTTAAGTTACCATTTTCTTGAACAAGATTTTCGATCAAAATATTTAAAACTTCAAGGGGAGACAAGTACAATTAACATCAAGATTTGTTCTTTCAATGGGATATAACTGTTAAATTTGCACATCACTTTTGTGCAGTTAAATTCCAAACAAAAACCTTTGACTTGTTTTATTATTATTATGTCAAATTTTCTGTTTAGTCAGGTTAATAGTTACTCCTTGCTATAGATCAATGACATTTTGTATTTATTTGCATTGCTAACAAATTATCGAATTAATTAGCAATGTTGCTAATCATCAGATGTTTTTCATTTTCTGCTGCTAGGCAAGACATCTCTGTCAACAGTTTATCTTACAAACATGTGTTGATACTATTGTGTACATTTTGTAAGAAATCAGAACATTACATAGTGACTTCATATTTATAGAGAAATGGATTTGTAAAATATAATAATGTGTCTTTTTTAATTCTTTTTAGGTTCTTCTGTGATATGTTTTCATGGTGTGGGAATAAGACTTGGTGGTCTAATACAGCTAATACGAAGGTATGTACCAGTATGTTAGTCCTGTTTTGGAAAACATACAGTATATCAAAAATGATCCTTTTAAACAATCTTGAATGACTAATCATTTTATTTTTCAGGTTAGCATCACAGCTTGTCTGTAAAGATTGAAGCTGGGAGTGGGCATTTGAGCTGACTTTTATGGTAAGAACCAATACAAAAAAAAACAATACGTAAAAAAAGAAATATGTTAGACATCTACCATTGACTTGTTTTTCATCCTTTTCTGCTAATAAAAACTGGAAGTTCAAAACATATATCAGCAAATCACTTTTAAACAAAGTAAGAGAAAGGTTTTATGAATCATGATTATAATGACCAGTTATTTATTATTTTGCATTTGATATTGTTTCAATTTTCAGATTTTGACAATTACATTTAATCCTGTATATTTCTTTTTCAGGTAACTCTGGTGGCTGCATAAAAGGGCTATGTGATTTTACTGTAACAGTCAAGAATGTAATTCAGACTATTTTTGTGTATGTTTGAGAAAATTTTATAGTTTTTACAAAAAGAAAAAAAAAATATGTACAGGTTCTCCATTTTCAACAAGATTGGAAGTTGTAGGTTAATACTGTCTTTGAAATTTCAAAAATTACTTTCTATTTTCTGTTCATACTCATGTCTAGGCAAAACACTTCCAGTAGTTTAAGAATGGAGAATCTAAAAAAAAGAAAAAAAAAAGAAAAAAAGAAAAAGAAAAAAATGTTCAATTATTGAAATGTTTTTTATTTTTGCAAATTGTAATACATTTTTTCACCTTTGTGTCATTAGTTTAGCTGAGTTTATAACAAAGGGTATATTATTTTAAGAATATTTTACAAGAAGCATAGTTAAAGAATATCTTGATGAAAGTAGATTGATTGATTTTTGGTATTTAACACCACTTTCAGCATGACTTGCTATATCTTGGCTGCCAGTTTTTATTTGTGGAGACAGCCTGGTGAAAACATCCCCTTCAACAGAGAAACTGGCAACTCTAGTAAATTAAGATTGACGTTAAACACACCTACAATGTGAGGGTTCAGAGTGTTGACAGGCTAGTGATACAGTAGTTGAACTACTTTGACCATTCAGCCACCTGATTACTCCATCCGCACTAAATATGTTATTGAAATGTGTTGAATTTTTGTAATTTAATTATTTTTTTATTTTGATTACCGGTATACTATTTATGTTTTTTTGTTATATATAACAAAGATGTGGAGTTCTAACAGGGTGAAATTTAGGTCAAAGGGAGGTAATTTATTATACTGTGTTTAACTTCAAATACTTGAAATTCCCTCAATGTTAGATTTTTATTTACTTGAATACTCATATTTATGCACTTTTTTACGTATCAGATGTTTTCTAGATAATAGAAATTTAGGGTGGGAAAAATTATGTGTCACTTAAAATAATTACGTGTATTAATTGAAAGTGCATCTGATATTTTTTATGTATGTTACCTTATTTTCTAAAAACAAATGGACACAACATAGATTGACAATAAGATATTGAGAAGAACCAGTCCTTGTCAGCCAGGATAGCAGCTCTTAGGAAGGTGGTCAATTAAATCTTCAACCAAGTCTGACTCTTTACCATGATAATAGAAAAGGCAAGTTTATTTTAGCCAGATCTTTTAAGATAACAGACCCTTCATTGCATTTAAAACACCATTGATGAATTAATTTACCAGTTTAGTATTAAAAGATACAAGATACATGAACAAGATTTTCTATTAAAATATCAATAGTAAATCCTAAAAATAGTCATTAAACCAAGAAAAGACCAGTACAATTTAAAACACGATTTTGCATTCAATGGGAGAGAACTTTGTAAAATATTCAGATATTTTTTGTGCATTTAAAAATTAAATCTGACGTTTTTTTACTTTTCTAACTTTTATAATGATTTAAAAAAAAAATGATTTTATACAATTTTCTACCTGCAATAAGAAATCAGAACAATATTTAGTAAATTTTAGGTTATCGGTAACACATAAATTGATTTACAAAATGTATAATGTGTTGATTATAATTTCATTTCAGGTTCTTTCTGAGAAAAGTTTTCATGGTGTGGGAATAAGACTTGGTGGTCTAATACAGCTAATACAAAGGTATGTACCAGTATGTTAGTCCTGTTTTGGAAAACTCAAATGTATTGTAAATATTTTATGGAAAAACAAGATTTGAACGCTTAAAAGATTTTTTACAGGAATCTACTCTTATTATATCTGTAACCAAATAAGAGTAAAGTTTAGGATCTGAATTGTTTACATAAAAATGTGTTGGCTTGTTGGATTGCTGTCTCATCCATATGTTCTTGACATATATAACACATTTTAAGACTATTTCTATTTAATGATTTGCCACTGGACCTTAAGCAACCAACTACCAATCATTCAATCTATTCAATATACATACATAATACCAACAAAGAACCTTTTAAACAGTTATTATACGCCCGTTTATGGGACGTATTATGGTATACCGTTGTTCGTCCGTCTGTCTGTCTGTCCGTCGTCAACATGTTGGACATTAACTCAAAAACGCTTTAACCAATTTGCATAATTGAATTGTTTATATCTATTGACGTGAGCTCCCTTTCGTTTTTTATAAATTTTAGATTTTACGTCTCCGAGTTATGGGTTTTTTTTCATTAAAAAAAGGGGGGGTTTTCCAGTTTTCGGACAATAACTCAAGAATGCTTTCACCAACTTGCAAGAAATTGTGGTGAATTGTTTATATCTATTGACATGAGCTCCCTTTCGATTTTTATAAATTTTAGATGTTACGTTTCCGAGTTGCAGGGTTTTATTAATGAATTATCATTTTATATTTCAGGTTAGCATCACAGCTTGTCTGTAAGGATTGAAGCTGGGAGTGGGCATTGGAGCTGACTTTTATGGTAAGAATCAATACATAGATTTATGAACTTTTCATCCAAGAGCATTTTAAAGCCCAAGATTTTTGTTAGGCACAGATGTAAATCTTACATATTAGTGTCTTCTTTACTTATAGTTGAATAAACAATTTAGGAGATATAAAGATATAAAAGGGAAGTCAAAAAGTATAATGTATAATGCGAAATCTTGGGATTTCATTTTATTTGTTATCTATAGTTGTCCCCATATATGAAAATATGTAAGTGTGGTATGTATGCCAATGAGACAGCTATCAACCAGAGACCAAATGATGTGGATGCAACTAAATGTCGCCCTATGCCTTCAACAATGAGCAAAACCTATATTGTATAGTTAGCTATAAAGGTTCAACATGACTAAATGTTAAAAAATTCAATCAAGTATGTTAATAGCCTGATATACTATATATAGCTATATAAAACAATGTTAAAAAGATATTTGTCAAGACATCAGCCAATGACTTGTTTTTCATCCTTTTATTGCTAAGAAATACTGGTACTTTAAAATTTATGTCAACAAATCACTTTATAACAAAGAAAAAGAAATGTTCTATATATACATTATAATTGTAATGCTCAGTTAATTAAGTCTCCCTTTTCTTCTTCTTCTTCTTCTTCTGCCGCTTTTAAATTTGAACTTTTCCGCACCCGTTCTCCAAAACCGCTTGTCAGATTAACTTAAGGTTTCACAATATGTCTAGTGGTGCAATCAGGGTTTTGTTTGTGCAATGGGGTTTATAAAGGGGTACTTTGAGGGGCAAAAAGAAAGGAGGGTTTTACTATAGAACCCTATGGGATTTTATTTTTTAAAATTTTCAAATGATTATAAATTGAAAACCGTTTGTGATAGATACAATCTTTTTAATTGAAATTGTTCTAAATGATAAAGCACATTATATGATATACAGGGTTAGTCCCCAGGGGTCACCCCCACCCCCTGCCATTTAAGAAAGTTCTAATATCTTGTAAATGGTCGAGATCCCCACCCCTAAACCATATATATGATGGTTTGAATGATATACAGGGTTAGTCCCCAGGGGTCACCCCCACCCCCTGCCATTTAAGAAAGTTCTAATATCTTGTAAATGGTCAAGATCCCCACCCCTAAACCATATATATTCTGGTTTGTCATGATAAAGCGCATCAAATGAAATACAGGGTTAGTCTCCAGGGGTCACCCCCACCCCCTGCCATTTAAGAAAGTTCTAATATCTTGTAAATGGTCGAGATCCCCACCCCTAAACCATATATATTCTGGTTTGTCATGCTAAGATGGTTTGAATGATATACAGGGTTAGTCCCCAGGGGTCACCCCCACCCCCTGCCATTTAAGAAAGTTCTAATATCTTGTAAATGGTCGAGATCCCCACCCCTAAACCATATATATTCTGGTTTGTCATGATAAAGCACATCAAATGAAATACAGGGTTAGTCTCCAGGGGTCACCCCACCCCCTGCCATTTAAGAAAGTTCTTATATCTTGAAAATGGTCAAGATCCCCACCCCTAAACCAAATATATTCTGGTTTGTCATGCGAAGATGGTTTGAATGATATACAGGGTTAGTCCCCAGGGGTCACCCCCACCCCCTGCCATTTAAGAAAGTTCTAATATCTTGTAAATGGTCAAGATCCCCACCCCTAAACCATATATATTCTGGTTTGTCATGATAAAACACATCAAATGATATACAGGGTTAGTCCCCAGGGGTCACCCTGACCCCCTGCCATTTGAGAAAGTTCTAATATCTTGTAAATGGTCGAGATCCCCACCCCTAAACCATATATATTCTGGTTTGTCATGATAAAGCACATCAAATGATATACAGGGTTAGTCCCCAGGGTTCACCCCCTACCCCTGCCATTTAAGAATGTTCTAATATCTTGTAAGTGGTCAAGATCCCCACCCCTAAACCATATATATTCTGGTTTGTCATGCTAAGATGATTTAAATGATATACAGGGTTAGTCCCCAGGGATCATCCCCACCCCCTGCCATTTGAGAAAGTTCTAATATCTTGTAAATGGTCGAGATCCTCACCCCTAAACCATATATATTCTGGTTAGTCATGATAAAGCACATCAAATGATATACAGGGTTAGTCCCAAGGGGTCACACCCACCCCTTGGCATTTAAGAAAGTTCTAATATCTTGTAAGTGGTCAAGATCCCAACCCCTAAACCATATATATTCTGGTTTGTCATACCAAGATGGTTTGAATGATATACAGGGTTAGTCCCCAGGGGTCATCCCGACCCCCTGCCATTTGAGAAAGTTCTAATATCTTGTAAACGGTCGAGATCCCCACCCCTAAACCATATATATTCCTGTTCATCATGTCTCGAACATTTGAATGACGTATACGGTCAGTCCCCAGGGGTTCCCCCCACCCCCAATGTTCTAATATCTTGTAAATGGTCGAGATCCCCACCCCTAAACCATATATATTCCTGTTTGTCATGTCTCGAACATTTGAATGATGTATAGGGCAGTCCCCAGGGGTTCCCCTCACCCCCAATGTTCTAATATCTTGTAAATGGTTGAGATCCCCACCCCTAAACCATATATATTCTGGTTTGTCATGCCAAGATGATTTGAATGATATACAGGATTAGTCCCCAGGCATCACTAATGCATATAACTTTACTGGACCAAACCAATTTTCACTGGACTTTTTCCAATGTCAGGCGACCCTGGGAATTACGAATTATGGGAGCTTTGTTTGGGAGACTTCGTAACAGCATCCTGTTACAATCATTTCTTGTTATAATGGTTTTGCATTAAATATTATTTCAATGTTCATGAGTAATGTATATTTCTTTTTCAGATAACTGTGGCTGCATAAAATGGTTGTGTGATATAACTGCAACAGTAAAGAATGTAATTCAGACTATATTTGTGTATGCTTGAGAAAATGTTTATAATTTTTTTACAAAAAAAAAAAAAAAAAAATATGTAAAGATTCTCCATTTTCAACAAGATTGGAAGTTATAGGTTAACTTGTATTTGACTTATCAAAAATTCTTTCTATTATCCGTTTATACTCATGTCTAGTCAAAACACTTCCAGCAGTTTAAGAATGGATAATCTAAAAGAAAAAGAAAGAAAAAAGAAAAAAAAATGTTCAATTATTGAAATGTATTGTTTTTTTGCAAATTGTAATGTATATATTTTTGCCATCTTTTTGTTATTTTAGGATTTGAGATACTTTCAAATTTTACAAGTTACTTTATACATGTAGTTAATGCAATTAAATCTGCCGATGTGAATATTCCCACTAAATTTCTTAGCAAAAATTTTTAATTATTTTTGTTTTTTTTTAGCAACGTTTCAAAATACCTTACCATAGCACATACACATCTAGTGTAAACTAAAAAGATGAATAATGGTCTGCAGTAAATATATCCCCTTACAACCTTTTCTTTCATGTTAATTTTAATATCTTTAAGATATGTGACAAGGGTGCTCTAATGCAGAGGAATTTACGAAGTTAAGAAGTTAGAAATATATTTTTTGCACTTTTTTTGTCATTTTTAGCTGATTTTGGTTTGTAACCAAGGTGATATTTTTTAAAGAATAATTTTACAAAAGGCATAGTTGAAGAACATCTTGTTGAAATTGGATTGGTTGATTTTTGGTGTTAAACACCACTTTTACATGATTTACTATAATTTTGGCTGTAAATTTTTATTTGTGGAGACAACCAGAGTGCCTGGTGAAAACATCACCTTCATCAGGGAAACAGGCAAACCTTAGTCAAATTAAGAATAAAGTTACACATTTCATGTGCGGGTTCTCAGTGTTGACAGGCTAGTGATACAGTAGTTGAACTACTTATAGGACCACTCTGCCACCATACAAGTTGATCAGTACAAAATATTTTATTGAAATGTGTTAGATTTTTGTTATCAATCTATTTTTTAATTTTAATGGTACTATTTTATTTATTTTGTTTAATATAACAAGGATGTGGAGTCAGAACAGGGTGAAATTTGGGTCAAAAGTAGTAAATTTATTATACCCCTGTTTAACTCCACATACTTTAAATTCCCTCAATGTTAGGATTTTCATCTACTTGGATATTCATGTTTGTACATTTTTTTTTAATATCAGATGTATACTAGCTAATATTGACTATTATTTAGAGCTCTGTAATAAAAATAAATAAATGTAAGCAGAGCTCTAGATAATAAGTATGCAGGGTGGGAGAAATCTTGGGTCATTAACAATTGATTTGCTGAAATTTTCAAGAAAGGGGATTTATTGGAAATGCATCTGATATATTTAATGTATAAAACTATATTTAAAAAAAAAAGATGTTAAGATGATGAGGAGAGGCACCTTGTCAGCCGGGAGAGCAGCTCTAAGGGAGATGGTCAATTTAATCTTCACCAAGTCGGAGGCTTTACCATGAAAAATATGTGGTAAGTTTATATATTCCACAAATTTTATGGTAATAATATATATGTAGGCATTAAACATTATTTTTTAAGGGTTCTTTTCTATCAGTGTTTGATTTTTAGAGTATCTAGTCTTACATTTGTTTTCTGTCTGGTATCGAGTGAGCTGTGTTGGATAGAAACCAACTGTATGCAAGTTATTATCAATGAATTTGTAAACTTATTTGGGTCGAACAAATTTTTATGCAAAGTCTGTAACTGTTTGAATATTGAATTGATATAGAATCATTTTCATAAAAGCGTGGGCAAGACGATTTCTTGGCGCTCTTATGTTATCTATCGACTGGGTCAGATATGGTGAAAGTTTGTCTGTAACGCCCACTTGTCACATTGAATGTGTTATAGACATTTAAACTGGGGTTGCCAAAGGTTCTAAATGCCTACATCAAATAGTACGAATTACTAGCAGAGGACTGAACCTTGTGTGTTGATTTAAATGTTGAATAATTATTTTCTTTTTTTCTTCTCTTGCATGTGCCTACATGTACTTTGCTCTTTTATTCTATTTAAATCCCTGTTGGAAGGCCTCTGACAGACTGAGTGAGCGTAAAATCACTGTTATTGATAGCCAATGGCAAACAAGTTAAAGGTACTGTAAATTTAGAAATTATTGCGTGCAATTATTAATAAATAAATTTGGTGTATTTACTGTCTTCTGATTGGTTAAAAATGGTTAAAAATATTTCTTTTATTTTCAATGTTGTCAATTTTTATGGGGAGACGCCCACTCTGACGTTGTATATTCATACGCCAACATCAGTGTACGTTGTTATGGTTAATATAAATAATATAAAAAGTTCTTTGAGCCTTATGTTTGATAGAAATTTATTTATAATGAATGGCTATAATTTATTTTGAATTTATTGAACCATAAAAATTTTGGACTCTTCACATTTTACATAATCCACTTCGCGGATTATTCAATGTGAAGAGTCAAAAATTAATTTTATACTTCAATAAATTCAAAATAAATAACCATTCATTAATTGCGATTTTGTAATTTTAGACTAAAATGCAATTTTAATTTTTACGATATTGAGAAAAAATCCTGTTTAATTCATATAAAAAATTTCAATGCTAGTTTAAATTATTGCCAATACAACCATGTTGCATTTTTGGCAATAATAAAAACATTGCAATAGTTTCTGAATTTACAGTAATTGAGTTAGTATTATTACCAACATAAGTATTGGGGTTGTCTACGCTGTTTTGAAAATGATTTTAAGAACCATCAAAAGAGAACAAAACCATCCGATTTTGTAATTGAATATTCCAAAATCATTGTCTTATACATATACGTGCACTTGCACAAGGTCAATTTCTATCTCTAGCTTCCTATTGAAGGTCGGTGGTTTTCTCTGGGCACTCCGGCTTCCTCCACTAATAAAAACTGGCCGCCACGAAATAGCCCAAAAGCGGTGTTTAAAGTTGCGTTAAAAACACAACAAATCAAAATCTATCTCTAGCAGTTTAAAGTTTATATAGTGAAGATGATAATGTATAACAGGTTTTAATAAATGAAACAGCATTATTTTGTTAGTCTTCTTAGAGATAGACTGATCTGTAAAACAAGTAATTATTTTTACATTTTTTTTATATTTAGGTTGTTATAATGATGATGTTTTCATGGTGTTGGGAGTAAGACTTGGATGTCTGAAATTGTTAACATGTTGGTAGGTAATCAAGCATCTTTTTAGTAATGTAATATTTGAAATCAATTTCATAAGGTTCTTTAGTACCAAAAAAATAATTTTACACTGATGAGATACCGGTTGAATTTTTTTGGTAAATATGAAAAGAGTTTATAATTCAGAATACCAAATATTTTTCCATGATTTTAAGCTCACCTGGCTGAAGGGCCAAGTGAGCTTTTCTCATCACTTGGCGTCGTCGTCGTCGTTAGCTTTTTACAAAAATCTTCTCTAAAACCACTGGGCCAAATTTAACCAAACTTGGCCACAATCATCATTAGGGTATCTAGTTTAAAAAATGTGTCCGATGACCCCGCCAACCAACCAAGATGGCCGCAATGGCTAAAAATAGAACATAGGGGTAAAATAAAGATTTTGGCTTATATCTCTGAAACCAAAGCATTTAGAGTAAATCTGACATAGGGTAAAACTGATTATCATTGTTGGGTTGCTGCCCCTGAATTGGTAATTTTAAGGAAATTTTGCAGTTTTTGGTTATTATCTTGAATATTATTATAGATAGAGATAAACTGTAAACAGCAATAATGTTCAGCAAAGTAAGATCTACAAATAAGTTGTCATGACCAAAATTGTCAGTCGACCCCTTTAGGAGTTATTACCCTTAATAGTCAAATTTTAACAATTTTTTGTAAGTTTTTGTAATCTTTTACAAAAATCTTCTTCTCTGAAACTACTGAGACAAATTTAACCATACTTGGCTATAATCATTATTAGGGTATCTAGTTTCAAAAATTTGTCCAATGGCCGACTTGGTTAAAAATAGAACATAGGGGTAAAATGCAGTTTTTGGTTTATATCTCTGAAACTAAAGCATTTAGAACAAATCTGACAGGTGTGGCAAAAATGTTCATCAGATTTAGATTTATCTGCCTTGAAATTTTCAGACGAATCCGACAACCCGTTGTTGGGTTGCTGCCCCTGAGTTAGTAATTTTACAAAAATTTTGCAGTTTTTTGTTATTATCTTAGATATCATTATAATAGCTAATATCCAATACTATTAACTATGATTTTAACCTTATTTTACGTGATTTCCAAGGCATCAGTAAATACAGGTGAGCGACACAGGCTCTTCAGAGCCTCTAGTTTGTTATCCTAGTGCAATTTTAAATTTAGTACATGTGTAATAAAAATTTTTAGGAAAGTTTAGTATAACTGACTACTTTTATATTCCAGGTTAGCATCAGATTTCCATTGGGTTACTTGCTGGGATAAAGCTATTATAAGGTGAGAACTTATTCATCAACATACAACTTTAATGTGTTTGTTATAGTGTGATGGAATGTCACTAAATAGATTTCAATATATATATTTTTTTTTAATTTACAATTAAAAAAAATCAGTATTCAACTTTTCATTTTAAAATAATGTACCCTTTAAAGCAGATACTAGATCTGGAGAAGATGGTCCAAGGACACAGTTATCGTCCTTTGGTTTTCGTTGTCTACGAATATAGTCCCTAGTGTGAACAGTGTATAACTTGCATTTTTTTTTGATACACTTTCCCAATTTATTTCTTGATATTTTATGCATGAAATATTAAGTAAGGGGATGAAATTACATGTTAAAAAAATTTGGGTGCTGAATCTTTATGTTAAGTAGTGATTTGGTCCAGTTAAAAAAGGTCAAAAATTAGAATGTCTGAAGCTGTCAAACTGAATTTTAGCCCCCCTTAACACAGAATTGTCAATATTTTGAGTTAGAGCTGGTAGAAGTTTCTATAATTTTGATATTATTTGTATCAATAGTAGTACACTACACTGTAAAAATATTTTTGAGATAGAGCAGGTGCGATTTTTTTAATTTGAATTTATTGTCTAAAAGAAATGCACTACGAAATAACTGTGTTCTCGGGCCTAAGAGATGAATTCTGTAAATGTAGATTCTGTACTTTGGCAACTTTCCTGAATGGTTTGCTGGTTTCAATTTGTCAAACTCAATAAAAGTAAAGGATTTACATCTTTGTTTGACAGAAATTCTGTTAAAATGTCCCATTTCAGCATTATACGGCTAAAATAAGCATTTTAAAGCAGTTTCCATTTTATGCCTAAGAGCCATGCTGACTTTCTATCTGACAGCTTTTTATGTTCCTGATATTTGTGTTTCTATGCTTAAATCAAATTTAATTAACCATTTGTGAACTCGGAATCTAGAGAAAATTAGATTATCACAGAAAAAATGTGCAGAATATTTGTATTTATGTCCCTGGTTAAACGGCCTGTTTGATGTATGTGAAATGTGAAGAGCTTTGTACATAAAATCTGTAGTCCATCACAAATATATCACTAAATCTGTAAAAAAACACTTTACAATGATCAGTACACCCTATTCGTTTCATATGCTACCATAATTTTCTTCTTTAGGATAGTAAGTGGTTCAAATATATGCCAAATGAGACTAAACTACATGCAAGTTTTCCATTGAAAAATGAAAAACTGGTCATCAGACCATACTGTCTGCAAAAAAAAGTTGAATTCAGGAGTCCTTTTGCAATTAGACTTCTTGTATCATGACATCTTAGCATAGAAATGAGCAAAAAGTAACAAATTTCAATTTCTTATAGCCTCTGTGTGCATTTTAATATGTAAATATGGGCTACGGCCTAAATCGACTCTAAATAATTCTCAGTCTTACATGGCCTAAGACCATTTTATACTCATGTGGTATGCTTTTTGTAACTTTTCTTTACATTCAAAGTACATTTAATATATATTGAAGAATAATGTTTGGTTAAAAAACTTCAAAAACTTCAAATTGGTTGAAAAAAATGCATGTTTATGTAATGCTTCCCTTAATTCGAAAATCTCTATTTTCAGGCACAGGCTCATATAAATTTGACTTTTGAATAACTGTAATAAATCTGATAAATCAAGTGAGTGTTCCGTTGCTTTTAAAACTTATTATATTAAATTCAAGAGTATTTAAAAAGCAAATTTTTGCAATATTTAAATTTTTTAGGCCAAAATCTTGACAGTTGAAAATATTTGATTTAAACGTCAAAAATAAACATCCAAATTTCAATATTAAAATGGCCCTAGTTTCTATAATATATATCCTATGGCCATGAAACTTGGCCAACTATCTTATAATTGCCTAAGCTTAGGTCATGCAAAGTTTTATTAAAATTGGTCAAGTCTTTCTATCCTATTAGGTCCAAGGACACAGTTATCGTCCTTTGGTTTTCGTTGTCTACGAATATAGTCCCTAGTGTGAACAGTGTATAACTTGCATTTTTTTTTGATACACTTTCCCAATTTATTTCTTGATATTTTATGCATGAAATATTAAGTAAGGGGATGAAATTACATGTTAAAAAAATTTGGGTGCTGAATCTTTATGTTAAGTAGTGATTTGGTCCAGTTAAAAAAGGTCAAAAATTAGAATGTCTGAAGCTGTCAAACTGAATTTTAGCCCCCCTTAACACAGAATTGTCAATATTTTGAGTTAGAGCTGGTAGAAGTTTCTATAATTTTGATATTATTTGTATCAATAGTAGTACACTACACTGTAAAAATATTTTTGAGATAGAGCAGGTGCGATTTTTTTAATTTGAATTTATTGTCTAAAAGAAATGCACTACGAAATAACTGTGTTCTCGGGCCAGATATATGAAGGGGAGATAACAATAAAATCAGATATTTTTGATACTATATATTTTTGAGTAATCAATATAAGTAATAAACAAATTGTTTAACATACACTGATGTCTGTTTCTTTATTCCCGTTAGATTATTTTAAAATTAAGAATCAACAATTGAAATTTAACTTTGTTTCTTTTTCAGTCGAAAGAGTTGCTGTTGCTGCCTTCCTTGTATGGTAAAATCCTCAGACTACAATCCTGCAAACCATTAGATGAACTGTTTTTTGTAAAAAAATCAGCAGATATTTGTCTTATAAGCAGAATGAATTATAAATGCAATTAATTTTTAATGCTTTATTATTCAAATTATAAATATTTATTTCATTATTTTTTCTTGCATTCAATTATTGTTTTGTGATTGAAGAAATATAAAAAAAAAACTGTGAAATTATTGTTATTTGAGAGGTCCCAAAGGTATGATGTATGGTTTCACAAGATACCCATAAGACTTGCTTCAGTTTACATATATTTTTTAAGTTATGTACACTGGTTAAGAATTATAAGTCCTTTGTGAAATGATTTTTTTCTGGTTAGAAATCTATTAAGTAGGACTTTGATGGCCAAACACTAAAAGGGAATAAAACATTAATCCCCTATTAAACAATTTAAGTACTGAGTTTTTGGTGCAATATGAACTAGAAATAAAAATGTTTAGTCAGATGGTTTGTTTTGACTCTGCATTCTTTACATTCATACAAATTAATGGCTGTCAGTTTTATTTATTGGTTTTGATATATATTATAAATGCATTATTCAGCATCTGAGACCACTCAAGTGAAAATAATTACATAGTTTTTGCAGTTTGTCATATTTTCTCATTTTTGTGTGATTGTCACTGAGATTTCTATATTTTTTCTCATTTATGATTATTTATATTTTAATGTTTGATTTTTGAGGCTTGAGTCATCCACAGCTTATAAACTATTGGAAGGTTTTCATTTAAACTTTCAGATTATCTTCTGTATCTAATGGCTGTGTGTATTTTATTTTATTATAATGAAATTTTGGGATTCTCAATTGTAATGAATGGACCTCGATCCTAAGTATTTGAAAAAAAAGGGAAAGAAGCTTCTCATACCACCATTTTATCATGTGAAGGATAGGTTGGTTCAAATATATTTGTTTTTAATCATGTTTTTAGTAGTTGGATCTCATTATGACAAAATTTTAATGACTTAAATTCAAAATAAATTTGGGGTTCACACTGATAAATATTACCACTGTAGCTTTAATGTAAATTTTATAAGGCTTTGCTATAACAAGATTTGTGTTTTATCTGATTTTATCTGATTTTAGTGGTTTTTATGTGATTTTATTTGTTTTTACTGTCAAATCTTGTTATACCAAGCCTTAGTATGATTGAGTTTATATATTTTGATTATACATACAATTCAAAATATAAATTTACATAATGAGATCAGACATTTATTATGCTTTTAACTCTTCTTAGTGGATAAAATAGAAAAATGAATGAACATAAATATTGAAGTGGTCGTTGAAGATTGACCAAATTACAAGATTTATAAATGCAGAATCTTGCTCTAACTAAATCTATGTTCTTATCAGCTGAACCAACCTATCCTTCAATATGAGTAATAAAATTTTATAAATGGAAAAGTCCATTCTTCGATTCAAGGGGAACCTTTGGATGTGAAAAAAATATACACAATGCCAACAGATACTGAAGATTATTTGAAAGTTTAGACAAAAACAATTCAATCCTTTAATTGTGATTGGAAGTTGTAGACGGATGAGCAAACAGATGATATACTTGCTTACTATGGCACATTTCTTAAAGGATATGGACTAATGGTATGGGTTTTGCTCATGGTTGAAGGCTGTAGGTGACTGATAGTTGTTAAATTCTATGTCATTTGGTCTCTGGTGGAGAGTTGTCTCGTTGGCAATCATATCTCCTCTTTTTATTTTACATGAAATAATTACTTATTACTTCCTCGGCAAAAAGTTCTGGTTCCAAGAAAATAATAATAAAAAAATATATATATCATACATGTATTGTTAAATAACTATCCTACTTGGATATAAAGAATTGACTTTGGTTAGAAATTGGGAGAAATTATAAAGAAACTATATACAATATAAGAGCTTGGGGTTATAAATGTTTAATGAAATGCAGTTAACTTTTTCCTTGGTGATCTAATAATTTTTGCACAGATCACGATATTAGTTTATTTAAATAACCCAGTAAATAAATTGAGTACACCTCATAAATGAATTTGATTCATGTATTTTTATGCATTTTTTATCTTAGTATTTACCATTGTATTCCTTGTTATATTTGTAAATGGCTCTTCGTATTTGACAAACTGAGGATTCATATATTTTATGGAATTATATAAATTTATTTTAAGTTTGGTATTTAAAAGTATTGGGAGCAAAAAAAATATTCCTTTAAAACCTAAGGATATTAAAATTTAAGACATGTATCTCAGAACAGAATTGATTTTCTAAATTCTATTTAAACAGCTAGTCTGGGAACTGGTATCAAGAAACTAAAAAGAATCCTCAGCGCTGTCAGTTATTTTGTATAATTGTAATATTTAACCAATGATACCTTACCCATGATGCAGATCCTTTTCCTCCTTTTACTTATAAAGGGACTAAAAACATTATTATTATTACAATTTCTTTGGTATTTGTACACACTTGATGGAGCAGAATGGGTCTGGTTTCATTTGGGTATTTTATATTATGATGCATGATAATGATATAAATAAATAGGTAAATAAAAATTTAATTGAGAAAACCTATCTTATATTTTATTTGAGTCTGAATGACAAATAAAGGGGGAAGAGGTTTCTATGGTCATGGGTACATTTTTGTAACACACAGCTGATTTATTGCGAGACTTGGGCATGCTTTTTCCATAAGCAGCAGCTTCAACAATGTATTTGATTGTGATAAGTTCAAGTTAAAGAAAACAACTAGTGGTAGGTCAATGGTATTTGGTACGCAGTTATATAAGCATTGAAACATCTTATTTCTAAGGAGATTATTTTGCTTCTCTCCCTCAGTCATGGTCGACTTAAAACTTTTAATTAGTTTACATGTATAAGTTTGTGATTAGGTCAATTGAAAGGGAACTATTAGTGGTATGTCAATGATATTTGGTATACAGATGTATAAGCATTGACAAATCTCAGATCCATAGAGATTGTTCAGCTCCAGCCTCAGTCATGGTTTATTGACTGAATGTTTTGCATTATTTACATGTGATTTGTGATTAGATCAGTTTAAGATGAGTGACTAATATCAGATATTTGGTATGCAGTTGTATTGGCATTTGCAAGTCTCATTTTCATAGAGATTATTTGGTCCCACTTTCTTATCATGGTTCATGGACTTTGAAACTTTCACAGTTTAACAGGGAACCAATTGATAAGTCAATGGTGTTGGGTATGCAGTTTTATAAGCATTAGCATTTCCATGGTGTTTTTATTTTGCCCTGAACCGTCAGTCATGGTTCATTGCATAGATAACAAGTTTAAATATTGCAATTTAATTTCAACATTTGCATTATACCACCAAAAAACGCAATACATATCTCTGTGTCAACAGTTTATATTTCCATCTCTTTGGTATCTTTCAACATCATATTTTGAGTTTTAAATGTCACAGAAACTTCTTTGCAAGTTTAAACAAGACTTGACACAAATGATACTTAGGAATTACATGACAGAAATGTTCATTGGACTTGCTGATTACCTGATTGGCTGCCAAGTCTTTAAATAGATCTAGAATTCTAAAATGATCTAGTTTATATAAAGGCTCATCAGATACAAAACACAGGGATACAGATCTAGCAGTGGATGCTCCTGATATAAAACTTCATAATCCAGACTGAAGAAGAATGAGTTAATCCATATCTTGTATGCAGTTGCCTTATGGTCTGGTTAAATCTGGCATATGAACATTATCTTGATTCCATTTTTAAGGGTATGTGTACATTATTTGTTTTCAAATTAATTTGACGGTTTTTATGTGTAATAAGGACAATTAATTCTCTTATGGTTATTGCCTGTGATCTATTTCTCACATGAAGAGATATATTTTGTATCACATTGCATGGATTGGGATAAGAAAAAGGTTTACGAAAAATTTGTTAATTTGAGTGGCTTATCCTGCACCATTTGGTCATCATTTAGGTTCCATGATTTGGTCTGTTCTGGGTCAGATTCTCTAGGTCAACAATGTATGGTGTACAGAATGATTGTAATGTGAATATGATTGTCTGCTGAGATTCATCTGACCATGGCCTTTTTTTGAAGTGTGGTCAACATTTAAGTTTTTATAGACTGCAAAACTTTTGCCATTTTGTAATGGTGTGGATATGTGGTCATTGTGGTCTGTAGACATATGTTTTCCAGACAATAACTTGAGTATAAGTGTATAGATCTCAAAGAAATAAAACCACAAGGTCCCATACCACAAAAGGAGGGTATGAATTGAATTTGGGGTTATTGCCCTAACAGTTTAGGAATAAAGGTTAAAAAAAAAGATTTTCCGGGATTTCCAGACCATAACTTGAGAATAAATCCATGGATTTCTATGAAATTATTATACAAGATTTCAAACTAAAAAGGGAAAGTTGGAATTGATTTTGGTGATTATGGCCCAAACTGTTTATGAATTAGGAACCAAACAAACACCAATACTTTGTATACATTATTTGTTTCTTGACCAATTTCAATTTGGATGAGAATCATGTATTCTTTGGGTTCTTTAATATGCTGAGTCTGTTACCATGTTTGTGTATTTCTGTTTTCGAATTGGTTCACATTCAGGTCCAAAGGGTCCAAAATCAATCTAAGTTTGATTTAAACCCAAAATTGAATTCTTTGGGTTTGTTTTATATAATCAAACTGTGTATTTAGATATTGGGCCCATTATCAAAATGGTTCACATTTGAGGTCCAAATGGTCCAAAATTAAACCTTGTTTGATTTAAACCAAAATTTTAATTCTTGTGGTTCTTTGATATGCTGAATCTACTGGTAACTGTGATCTGTATTTAGATTTAGGATTTTTAGCCCTGTTAAAAAACTAGTTCAAATTGAGGTCCAAAGGGTCCAAAATCAAAAAAAATAAAAATTGAATTTTTTGAGTTCTTCGAAATGCTGATTCTAACTTATTTTAGATTTTGGATATTAGGGTATAGGTAAATGTAGTTTTGAATTCTTATACCACATTCATTTGGAGTCC